ATAACCAGCAGAAACCCAGTACTCATCAAACTGCCTTAAGTTGAAAATGTTTTTCTCTGTTTTAAAGATTCAAATAATGTTGAACTAGATACTCTGCTGTGGGCATATTTCTGAAGGATTCTTCTTTGAAATACTGAGTTTTTTTTTAGTGCATTTTTTTTCAAAAAGATCCCTCCTTCCATTTTAAAATCAGGCCAACTGAGAAATTTTATTTTATTTAGATACTCAGTTGCTATTCTTTTAAATTCAGAGTTAGAAGTGCTTTTTTTTAAAAGATTTATTTTTTAAATTACATGAACATGTGTGTCTGTGTATATGTATGTTCACATGTGTGCAGGTTCCCACAGTGGTCAGAGGTTACAGGCAGTTATGAATCACCATATATTGGTGCTGGGAACTGAACTCAGGTCCCATGCAAGAACAGTATGTGCTGCTAACCATTGAGCCAGCTCTCCATCCTCACATTTTCTTTTTGGTGTATATGTGTGTGTGTGTGTGTGTGTGTGTTTAGTACTTGTGCCTTTCCTTTTGGGGGGGGGTTAGAAATTTCATACAATATATTTTGATCATATTTAGGTTCCCTATGCTAACTGCATCCCCCTTAGTGCCCTCACCTAGTGTTGTGTGTGTGTGTGTGTGTGTGTGTGTGTGTATGTATGTATCTGTGTATGCCCTATGTTATGGTTTCATCCACTGGGGCCTGTCAACTTATTAAGGATCTCTCCCTTCAAAGACTCTCCCCTTTCAGCTGCCATTGGATTGCCAATAGTTTTTAAAGTAGGTTGGAGTGTCTTACCTACTTCCTCATGTCTATGCTGAGATTTTATCTGGCTGGAGCTTACATGAGACTTTTGCATGCTGTCATCATTGCTATGAGTTCATACAAGTAGCTGACCAGTTGAACTCTGTTTCCTTGTCATCATCTACCACATCTGGCTCTTAAAATCTTTCTGCCCCATCTTCCTCAATGATCCCTGAGCCTTAGGGAGGCAGAAGTTTGATATAGGTGTCCAATTCAGGAATAAACACCCTGCAACTTCTTATTCTTAGCAAGTTGGCTAGTTTGGTTTCTGTGTTAATCATCATCTACTACATAAGGAAGATTCTCTAGTGAGAGTTGAGATGCATTAATCTGTGGGTATAACAGGTCATTAGGAGTCAGCTTCTAATACTATAGCTAGCAGAAAACTAATATTAGGCTCTCCCCTATGTCCTGTGACCTGAGCCTCAGATTCCTAGGCCTGATATCAGTCTCAAGTATGGGCTCCATCCTAGGAGAAATTGGTTGGCCATTCCCTTAATAATTTGTGCCACTATTGCATTGGTAGGCTTTGATGTCAGGACCATCTTGATTTCTCCTTATTTACTTACGTATATAGTGTCTTCAGTGACAAGGTCTTACTGTGAAGTTCTGGTAGGTAACAAAGAATAGGGGCAATGGCCAGTCTATGGAATTCCTGGTCAGCAGCTTCAAAAGAGGGAATCCATTTCTGGCATTGGGCTTTAACTTTGCTAGTCTATGGTGTCTGGTAGAACAATGTTCTCCTATTATAAGAGGGATTTTAATCTCTGATCTCTTTTTATAATGTATATATATACTTTAAGACACGTCTATAGTGGTAGGTTTCCATATGGCTTTTTCTAAAGGTCTTTAGTGTTAGTTATCTATCCCCATACTCCCTCCTCTGTCCTTCCCTCCAATTCCCCACCCTACTTAACCCTTTCTACTCTGTTATTCCCCTTTCTTCCTTTATATCACTGCATTCTACCTTCTCTTCTGGAAATCAACCCCCGACCCCCCATGGCCATTTATTAGTTTCCTTAAGTTGAAACATGCATAGCCAAGATATTAAAGCTAGCATTCAGCTCTGAGAGAGAACTGCAACATTTGTCTCTCTGGGTCTGGGTTACCTCACTAGGATAATTGCTTCTAGTTCCATCCATTTACGTGCGAGTTTCATAATTTTGTTTTTTTAAGAGCTGAGTAGTAATCCATTGTGTATATGTAGCACCCCTTCATTATCCTGCTACTTTTCTGAATGTATTTATCAGCTTCAGGAGTTTTCTGGTGGAGTCTTTAGGATCTTTTTATATAGAGAATCATATCATCTGCAAATAAGGATACTTTGACTTTTTCCTTTCCTTTATCTCCTTCATTTGTCTTACTGCTCTAAGACTTCAAGTACAGTATTGACTAGGAATGGAGAGTGTGGACATCCTTGTCTTGGTCCTGATTTAAATGTAAATACTTTGAGTTTTTCTCCATTTAGTATGATGTTGTATCTGTGGGCTTATAGGTTGCCTCTATTATGTCAAGATATGTCCTCTGTATCCTATCCCTAGATTTTCCATGACTTTTATCATGAAAGGATGTTGGATTTTATCAAAGCCCTTTTCTGTATCTAATAAGATGATAATGTGGTTTCTGTCCTTGAATATGTAATCAATTACAGTTGTTGATTTATGTATGTTGAACCATCACTGTGTCTCTAGGATCAAGCCAGTTTGATCATAGTGTATAATCGTTTTGATGTGTTCTTGTGTTCAGTTTGTGAGTACGTTGTTGAGAATTTCTGCATCACCCAGTATCACTCTATTGGAGTCAATGTGTAATTTTAGATCTATATAGAGTTTCTTTTATGAAATTGGGTGCCTGTGTGTGTGGTGCAGATATGTTTGATTGTATATCTTCTTGGTGTATTTTCCCTTTAATGAGTGAAGTGCCCTTCCCCATCTCTTCTGACTAACTTTCATTTGAAGTATTCCCCCAGTTTGTCTTTGATTCTCTTTTCATTTCCTCTACTTCCTTGTTGCTTCTTTCATCTAAGCTCTTTGTTTCAGTTTCTGGGTTTTTCATTTTCAGGTTTTATTTCAGTTTGGTTTTTCTTCGCAGTTTATCTCTTTATTGAATTCTAATTCCATGTTTTGAATTGTTTTAATTATTTTATTCAACTGTTTATGTTTTCACAGCCTTCATTCTTTTATTCATACCCTCTTTACGTTCCTTGAACATAGTTTGAAATAATTGTTATTTTGAAATCATTGTCTCATGAATCAGTTAGGTTGCCTTTCTCAGTAAACTTTATGATGGTCTAATTTCACGGCAGGTCTGGGGAAAAAAACTGCTTTTTCTTTTTCAATGAATAATCAAGTATATTGAAATCAATTCATAGCATTTGATTTTTGTAACATTCTTTTTTCAAGAAAACTTATAATCAACTTTGAAGTGGTTTTAAAGTTTAGCATGTCAAATATACATGCATATTATTGCTATCTTTGAAATATTAACTTAAGTTTCAGATATGTTTGTTTCAAAATACAGTACTGCCATTCTAATTTCAGTGAGTAGAAACTTTGCATGCTATGGCACAAAGTGTGTTTATGTAATTCTAACACTAGGAGGCAATCTGGTCAAAGTAAAATTATTTTCCCAGTTCCCATTTGCAGTGAGATCAAACATTGAAAGTAGAACAGTCATATAGTTTATGTTACAGTGTTTCCCATGACACTTAAGGAAGAGGTCATTGTCTTCTCTTTGTAATTATATAAAATGACCCTAGCTTCTAAGTTACTTTTAAGATGACCCCAATTTTCTACTTGATCTTTACATTGATAGCCTTTTAATCATAAAGTAGTTGTTCTTCACAAAAATCTCTACTTTTGAAATTGTTAGAATCAAATCTTGAGCTAAACATCAGTTATATTTTTGTGAGCTACTATTTTAGAAATTTAGGGAAGTATAGTCTAGTTTGTAAATAGCAAAAAAAAAAAAAAAAAAGTGAAATGTGGTAGCTGGGGAGATTTTTCATTAGGTAAAAGTACTTGCTACCCAAGCATGAGGACCACAGTTTGATCCCTAGAATCATGTATAATCTAGATGTTGGGGGCATAGACTTATAATACCTGTGATGGGTGGGGGGAGACAGGTGGATCCCTGACACTCACTGTCCATCCTAGCCTAATTGGTGAGCCCTAGGTCCCAGTGAGAGAGACCCTGTCTCAAAAAATAGGTGACGTGGGGAATGATACCTAGGGTTAACCATTGACCTTCACAGCACACATGTGCACACATATCCACACATACACACATACACACATGTTCACACATGCATAGGCTTACACACACAAAAAGGAAAAGTGAAATATAGTTACTCATTGTTCATATCATTCTGATTTTTTTTCCTAAAAGTTATTTCAGGCACTTGATAAAAAGACATTACCAATAAGCCAGAGAAAAATAAATTAAAAAGTGAGGTAATAAGCAGATAAAAAAGAAAATGATCAAGCCCTGTGGTTTGCCATGCCTGTATTCCCAGCACTCGGTAGGCTGAGGTGGGAGAATTGCAAACTGAAGGCCAGCCTGAGCTATACTGAGTTTTAGACCAGTGTTGACTATAGAGCAAGACTGTCTCAAAAACAAAACCAAAAGAAAGAAGATGGGGTTGGTGATAAAGTTGTTACACAAAATACATGTCTTGATACCATAAATATGTTTGAGTTAGGAAAAAGTACATTTGGTAAAATGCAGTTAAAAGTGACCCTGAAAACATGTGCTGTTGTGTCCTGTGCATTTCAGTAAGTAAGGCCCTTAATTTGACTTCAGGCATGCACAAATGAGGGAAAATTAGCTATAAAATCACAGCTCTTTGTAACATTAAAACAAACTGGAAATATGCCAATTTGTAGATGAGTGACAAAATTTGTTTTGAGTGTTTAGTATAGGACACAGTGAGTCTATAAGGATGTATGATTGGCACCATCTTCATACTGAAGGCAGTGGAGGGCTTAGAAGATTCATGAGAGTATCACTTAGGTCCCTTTGAAGAAGTCAGGTTAATTGAGGTAAAGTAGAACTCACTAAAAGCAGTTTTGTGAATCAAAAGATGAAAGCATTGACATTTCAAGCTTTATTTCTATCATGTTTTTACATCTTTCTGAAATATATATTGATACCAATGATAGATCTGTCTAAATATAGATAATGTTCCTTCTCCTTTTAGATTGTGAAAAAGAGTTCCATATCCTCCCACACCGAGTTTTTGTTCCTATTTCTGGATCCCCTGTAATGTTGTGTGATTATAAATTTGGTGATGAAGCAGCTGAAGAAATCAGAGACCATTTTTTGGAGATGTTAGATCATATGATTCAAACAGAAGATTTGGAAATTGCAGAGGAAATAAATACAGGTAATTAAAAACCTGATCAGCCCATAACCTAAACTTATTTTGCCTTTAGATTTCCTTAAAGCTAATTCTGTTTGATACTTCAGAATATTATCTAAGCCATGTACAAATATATCTGACAAGTTTCTTTTTCTTTCTTTCTTTCTTTCTTTCTTTCTTTCTTTCTTTCTTTCTTTCTTTCTTTCTTTCTTTTTTTTTTTTTTTGCCTTTTTTA